CGTGCCATAAATTACGCAATCAGAATGATGATTTAAACATAAAAAATGGGTAGGTGGTAGTGGTTACGACTTGATGAACGAGGACAGATATTGACCCTGTGCTAATCACTTTGAGCTTATCTTGCTGGTCTCACACATATGGGGGCATACAGGAATGCACTAGAAGACAGAAGCACATGCCTCTAGATTTACATATAACTTGAACTAAGTAAATCACTTGATACCTCGTCAAATCGCATAGACTTAGCGAATGTATACAGCATTTAGGGGAAGCCCGGTGAGTTTTCTTGATTCGTTAGCTTAAATATAATGGTAGTAACGATGATTACCGTCGTATGAAGGACGAAAGATCAGCATATTTTCATCGGAATCAAAGGAGACTGGCTTAGGGAGAGCAGCAACTAGAATGCTCTAGTAAAGCCAATCGAGAGCGGGTCAAGAGGAATAGGCAAAGTGGAAGTGAACTCATCACTGACAAATCATGTGGAGCCTCGAAAGCCAACATTTCTTCGCACAAACTGCTGGCCAGAGCCGGAGCACTCACCTTGACGGCCATCATGTATCTGGCGCGCACATCTGTCCTGCCTGCCGCCGGTACAACAGGACCGACATTTGAGCTTGGTCCGACGCCATTTTCTTGTACCAATGAGGCTGGGTCTACAAGGCCGGCTGAAGGCGCGGTCAGCTGACGCTTCAACTGGCCAACAGAACCGGCCAGCTGGTCGGCGCGCACCTCCATCGCCTCGAGACGATGCAACAGACGCAACAACTGCACCGGATGATGAGGCCGAGTTGAAGTCGGGCCTCCGGCGGGCCCGAGAGAGGCATCGGTAACCTCGGTGACGAGTTGCTCACTGCCAATGTCAGTGCCAGCCCTACTGGACAAAGCGGAGGGCTCGCGGGGACCCGATAGATTGGAGGGAACGGCGAGACCGGGTGAACTGGTGCCAAACCAGGCGGTGGACAATCCGTCTGGCCGAGAGGTCTCGGGTCCGGAGTCGACGATCGAGGCACAACCGGAAAGAGCTTCACGAAGCCTGAAGCCGTGGGAGTGAGAGGAACAGTAATCAAAACCACAAAAGGTTACTGTTTTGAAGACCCTCTCTCTTTCATACAATGACTTACATACATACACAAATACATACACACGCACTCAAACAAAATAATACTCATAAGTTAAATGAGTTATCTTCACTCTATTTCGCTGGTTGATGATTTTTCCAACAATGATATGAGTTGAGTTGATATTTTCCATTGAATTTCACATAGCTTTGCTTTCTTAAAAGGCTATGTGAAAT